AAATCCTTGAGGACTCCGCAGGAAATCCTTCGGAATATCTCGGGGGTCCTCTTAGAGCTCCTTAGGGAATCAATCCTCTGGGGGCTCCCCAGGGAGTCCTTTGGAAGCCCTAGGGACTCCCTAGGGCATCCTCAGGTGACCTCTTGAAATCCCCCGGGTTTCCTTGGGAATCCCCAGGGAATCTTCAGACACCCCGACGGCATCCTTAGGAATACCTCGGTAACCCTTTGGACACCGTAGGGAGTCTTTCAGAAGCCTCAGGGACTCGGGTTCCCAGGGAAGTCCATGGGCAATCAGCAGTAGCCGCCGTAGTAGAAGTGGTAGTAATAATACTAATAATCGCATTCGTCGTGGTAGTCGTAGCAGTAGTAGTCGTCGTGGTAATCGAAACAAATTGCCCTAGCCAGCCCAACCAGCCAACCCAACCAACCAGCCACCCAAACAACTCAACCGGCTCAACCAGCCCAACCAACCACCCCGCAACCCCAGCCAACCCGCCACCCCGCCACCCCGCCCACCCCCGCCGCCTGCCCTCCGTCACCGTCGAGAGGGGGGGGGAAGTGTTTCTTACAAGCGAAAACTACAAAAATCACCCTCCTGGGGTCCGGCGGGACAGCGGGGGGAGGGGAAATCGCGCCGTATTATGGGGGAGCGGGATTCGCGCCCGAGGTGCCCAAAGACGATTTGGGGCCTCAAATGCGACACTGTCGTCACTTTATTACCTTTCACCGCGCTCCCCTTCTCAACGGAAAGGCTCCCATCCGCGAAACTGTCGTCATTTTTTTCAGCCCCCGCAATAAGCTTCTCAGAGGCCCCCAGAGGCTCCAGGAGGGCCCATGGCGGCCTCGGGAGTGCCTAGGAGACCTCCGGAGGGCCCCAGGAGGAACCACTCTGCACCGCGCCCCCCTTCTCAACGGAAAGGCCCCCATGCGTGAAATTGTTTTCATCATTCCGCCCCCGCGAGAGAGTTCTTAGAGGGCCCACGGAGGCTCCAGGAGGGCCCATGGCGGCCCCGGGAGAGCCCACGAGATCTCAAGAGCCCCCCCGAGGACCCACTTTGAAT